CTAAAGTATATTATTACGTACAAATATTATGATATGTATATAACATTTATTTAACCTACCGGCTACCGTATTAATAGTAAACATTTAAAAATATCTTAGTCCGACAAATCGTCTCCGATCAGAATCGTTTTTCGTATACAATTATATTATATTGTTGAATTCAAGTTTAACACCATCCATTACAGCATTAACCCATTGGCCATTTAATATAACCTGCTATACTCCAGAGCGCTACCTACTTGCTTCCTTTTTTTAACCTATCTAAATATTATCAAAAGTATTTATACTATATGTAATAAAAAAAACTTATCAGTCCTCTCAAGCCAAAGATTATTATCAATGGATGATTCCCCTAATCGTATTATATCACAATATTATTATAAACGAGCGTTTAATACTTATTTTTGCAAAAATAAATTTACAGGTTATATTTTATTCAATAAAAATATGCATGCATAAAAAATATTTTACAAGTAACCTAACTTGAAGAAGGAAACTCGCTGTGTAAATGAACCTAACCTATGTATCTACACAGGGTTTCAACTTTTAACTCTCAAGTACACTATTTCCAACACAACTGTATGCATAATATTTTATTAACTCAAACTTTATTCAAATCAAGCGTCTAACATAAGCCGTGAATGACATCTCTAGTATACTTTAGACGCTATAGAAATGTGCATAGTACGTGCTAATACTGCGAATGTGTTACTAATTAATTTGTATTCTAAATTTTAAGGTTCTAAATGAAAATGGAAACAATCGTAACCATCTAGTTAGAGTACYTTTATGGGTTAAATTAACATTTATAATTTTTGTGTTTCAAAAATTGTATGCGWWCTCACCTAGTTTGTTAAGATCGTTTTAAATATATCATAGTTTTGCCTAAAAAGTAAAAAAAATAATGCTACAACCATAATATTATCATATCTGTATTACATTATAAAATATATAATATTTTTTTAATAACTGGTAGCCAATGGGGTGGAAAAAAAATATATAAATTATATACATTTTTTTTTTATTATATAATATAATATATTATATGGTGTCTGGCAATGCGTCTTATTATGTGTAAATATGCCATTTGATTTTGATTCAAAGGAAACTTAAGTGTAGATATTTCAATCATCCATGTACGTGCTATGAAAACGTTCAATATACGATGTATTATATTGTACATAACAATAGTCCATAAGTAAAATGAAGTGTATCAAAGCAGAACAGTTTCATTGAATTCAACGTTTTTGATAGTTTTTAACGAATTCGATGAAATTTTTCAATCGATATAATCCCTTTTAAAGTAAAAACCTTCGAGAATCYTAAGAAGTAAATAATATCTATGAAAACTTTCATTTTTATTTATTGTTATTGACTTTTGGAGAAAACATACTATGTGTTTTTGTGTACAATGAATTATGTATACCATTATTATAATAATAATACATATAATACATTAATACTATTTACTTTCATGTTATTATTATTATAATATGATTGTAGAACCGTGGACTTAGTTTTCAAAATACTTTTATTACTAAAATAACATAAAATTATATGTATTTTTTTTTTTAATAAATGGTTTCTGCGACGTATGATGTATATAGTACATATACGTAGATACTATTATATGGTTATACCTACAACGTTTAGTTTTTGAATGGAACATTAATTGTTGCTGAAATCATTTTAAAAGTAATAATAACACGCGTCATAAATTTTGTTTTTACTTTTTTATATTGTCTATATATTATTTTTAACGAGATATTATTATTATATAATATATTATGATGTATTGCACTGAAAATTAATGTTAAGTTTCCAGATTAATATTTCATAACTAAAATAAAAACATTTTTATTCGGTATAATATAGTATGAGTATACAATATATTTAAATTAATGCCTATTTACTGGTGGGAMACTGTAGTGTTTTCTCATTTTCACCATAAGATTAACACAGGAATACAAGAATATACGGGTGCCTCACTTATTATACTAAAATTTTATAAATATTAATATACCTACCTACCTATTAAACAAATCACTGCTGTCGGAAGCAGTATTTTTTCAAATCTCTTTTTTAAAAGCCGCATTTCATCGTAACAGTGTACATATATAWTATTATATAAAAATACATTTTTATGTTTCAGAAAAGGCAATCCATCGACTTGGTAGCYAGCAGACAAACATCGGTGCTTACATGGGTTGGTCTCGGACTCATGTCAGTGCAGTTTGGCATATTGGCTCGGCTTACTTGGTGGGAATACTCGTGGGACATAATGGAGCCGGTCACATACTTCGTCACTTACGGCACCGCCATGGCCGTATATGCTTACTATGTACTCACCAAACAGGTATATTTAGACGATAATAATCGTATTGTCTTATATGTAGCTAATTAATAATTATATATTAAGTATATAATTTTTAATCACAATAATTAGTGTTATGAAGTCATTAAGTCGTATTTTCTTAAATTATTAGCTTGTATACGTTTATTTTTTCAATAATACAGTTTATGTAATCGACATTTTATAGATGATGACTTGTATAAATGTTTAGTTATATTATCGCTAGAAAACACTTAAGAAGACGCCACACCCGCATTTGTTGTCTCAGTCTTATAAACGCGTGACATAGCAAATTTATGCTCAGCAGTTTATGTTTTATTCCGTTAGCTTAAAAATTAGAGTGAATAAACCTATAATGAAATTTTAAAGTGAGAGCATTATCTGTTATTTTTTATTTTTTACGATGATTTAGTTTTTTAGTGAGTTGTGCGCATAAAATAAATTATAAAATAAAAATGCTCATAACCTCACTTAAAAACTGAATTATCGTAAAAAAATGTCCAACAAAACACAGTTAATATATTCTTATCATCGAGTTTCATAATAGGTCTATTCTCTCTAATTTTTTAAGCTAATGGAATAAAACGTG